CTGGTAAGTTTAAAAAAGCAATTGTAAGGGATGTGATGGCTTTGCTCTGTTATTTGAAGTGTTTCATGAACAAATTCCAATGTGTTGGCTTCCCCGTATTTTCTGTAGCTTTTGTTATGGGGTGTTGAATAAGAAAGCGTAATAAAGACATGGTCCTGCTCAAGCGGGTCCAGAGGAGGGCCACAAAGATGATCAGGGGGCTGGAGCACCTCCCCTAATGAGGACAGGCTGAGAGAGTAGACCTTATAGCAGCCTTCTAGTACTTAAAGGGGGCTACAGAAAAGGTGGGCAGGGACTCTTTATCAGGGAGGGTAGTGATAGGACAACGGGTAATGATTTCAAACTGAAAGAAAGGAGATTTAGATTAGGTATTAGATTAGGAAGAAATTCTTTCCTGTGAGGGTGGTGACACTGGGAGAGGTTGCCCAGAGAAGCTGTGGCTGCCCCCTCCCTGGCAGTGTTCAAGGCCAGGTAGGATGGGGCTTTGAGCAACCAGGTCTAGTGGTAGGTGTCCCTGCCCATGGCAGGGGGCTGGAACTGGATGATCTTCAAGGTCCCTCCCAACCCAAACCGTTTTGTGATTCTGTGATTTCTTCTCATGTTTTCCATCCCTCAAGGGGAAGAAGCACAAGACACGGGAGTATAAAATCCAGTTTCCCTGCTGGAAGTTGGGAGAAGTTGCTTTTTGCCTGGTTGCCCAAGAGTTTGTGCCCTTGTGGCTGCCAGCATCCTTGTCCCCCAAAAAGGCTGCCAAACCTCTTGTAAAATCTCCAAAGATGAGAGGCCTCTTTGAGCCCTAGACTTTTGCATATTTAATGAAAATGAGCAGCTAGGCAGCAGGACAGACCCAAGCTGGGCAATCACCAACTGAATGAAATGTAACAGGAGCAAGTGCCACATTGTGCACCTGGCATGGGTTAATCCTAGTTATATGTACAAATTGGGGGACAGGAGGCTGGAGAGCAGCCACATGGAAAGAGATCTGGGGGTTTGGGTTGATGGCAAGTTGAACACGTGTCAACAGTGTGTTCTGGCAACCACAAGGGCCAACTGTGTCCTGGGGTGCATCAAGCACAGCATAGCTAGCAGGTCAATGGAGGCGATTGTCCCACTCTACACTGCACTGGTGCAGCCCCGCCTTGAGTACTGTGTGCAGTTTTGGGCACCTCAGTATAAGGGTATCAAGTGATTGGACTCGATGATCTTACGGGTCTTTTCCAACCTAAATGATTCGATGAAACTATTAGAGTGTGTCCAGAGGAGGGTGACCAAGATGGTGAAAGGCCTTGAGAGCAAGACTTACAAGAGGCAGCTGTAGTCACTTGGTTTGTTCATCTTGGAGAAGAGAAGGCTGAGGGGTGATCCCATTGCCATCTACAACTTCCTCAAGGTGGGCAGCAGAGGAGGAGGTGCTGATCTCCCCTCTCTGGTGACCAGTGATAGGACACAAAGAAACAGAATGAAGCTGCATCAGAGGAAGTTCATATTGAACATTAGGAAAAGGTTCTTGACTGAAAGGGTGGTTGGTCATTGCAACAGGCTCCACAGGTTAGTGGTCATGGCACCAAGCTTGTCAGAGCTCAAGGAACGTCTGGACGGTAGTTTTAGGTAGTTCTGCAAGGAGCAGGGAGTTGGACTCTGTGATCCTTCTGGGTCCCTTCCAACTCTCAATATTCTATGATTGTAAGGTAGTTGGCCACTGATGGAGGTAACATCCAGCGGTGGGACAGGGACAAGCAGACCACTGTCATCTGATCCGTAGGCCTGCAACCGGAAGACCAGCGGCAGCGTGCAGGCTCTGTGGTGCACAGGGCACTGGCCAGGGAGGGAGGAAAGGAGGAGGGCATCAGCTTTTTTAGAAAAACAAAATTCAAGCAGACTGTTGCTCAAGTCAGAAAGTTATGTTTGTGGTGATTCATCACAAGTCTCCTTTCTTGGTGTGTCGCCAGACACATGACTGATGGAGGAACTTTCCAAAGCTCGTGTTGGCTTCTGTAGAGGAATGTAAATATGACTAATCTAATAACACAGCAGTAAGTATCTGAGAGCAGTGATGGTTCTTTACAAAGGACTGCTATTTGCGCAGTTACTTGGCTCTCTTGAGTACCCTCTACCTCATCGGCTTTTCAGAAGCTTATGTTTGCTCTTTTGTTTTACTTGCTGGTTTTCCCCCATTTGACACAAACTATGCACGTTACTGGGGACAGCCTGCTGAAGATCTGTCTCTTTGACATCCTGTTGTTTGAGCTATGGACATGGAAGGAAAATAGTCTACATGCTTCAGAAATGTTGAATCTGCTCATGCCCCTAGGAGCACCTGCTGTATTGTGCTTTATACGCAATATAATATCTGCTTTATTTGCAGGTGTCTTTGCTTAGACTAAGAAAATACTCATAGACTCGGTTAATCTGGGTGCTCCTTAAGCCTGTAGGGAGTGCAGCATATTCTTGATGACTTTTTCTTCTTGGATCCTGCTACTACCTTTATTCTGGTTTTGTAGCTTTATCTCTGTTGTCTGATTGTTTCTTCCTGGAACCATCTGAATCCCTGGTACTGAGCTTCTCTCCTTTCAAGCTAAGTAATTGAACTTCCAGTTCAGTTGCACCCACCTGTGCTGGAAGCTGAGTGAGTACAGTTGTAAAAGAAAGTGCTTTAAAGACATGTGAGGGTCTATCACAAACAGTGGAGAAACACCTGGTCTTTTCTGGGAAAGCAGACTACCAGCACTTCAGGGTGCACATTATTGTACTCAGTTTCATAAGCTAGGTTTTGACATTTTCTGCTACTTCGTTGAGATAAAGTAATGTTTGAAGAGCCTGACATCTTACTGCATGCTTGGAAAACAGAACTGTGGTTGCAGAATATTGAATAATTCCAGTCAATATATAATGATTTTTTTTTTTCTTTTATTAACTCTCAGATTTGTTTATTGCTCTCTCAGAGTGTGTCTTCTGTGAGATTGGCAGTCAGCAGTCTCATCCTAAATTATTTCTCCGTGAAGCTCATGTGTGAAACAGTCCCTTAAAATAGCTGTGTGACTGAATGCACACTTTTACAGTGGTTTCCTCCTCTTGAGGGAAACCACTGCAGCTGGAACCGTTCAGAGTTCTCAGGCTAAGTTTCATGGTGGCAGTGAGCGACTCTTCCTATGGCCTTTTTTCTGCTCCAGGTAAAACTTCAGCTGCACCAGAGCATAATGTCAAGTATATGTGCTTGATTTTCCCTCTGCCACTGCTTCCAAAAAGAAATGGTGCCCTTGAAATATACCCACCAATGTAACATTCATTGAGTTAGTGACGTATCTTTAACCTTGAGACAGATGGTGTTAACAGGTGGCGGTGGTCCATCCTGTCATTGCTACTCTGTAGGGTTTTGAGGAGCATGCATCTTCAACAGGTCCTTCTGCCTGCTGCCTTAGACTAGCAAGTATCTGATCAGGTCCTGCCTTAGGCATTCTTCCCTAGAGGACGGCAGCCTGAGAGATGTATGTACTTGAGAAAACAAACAAACTAGAATTCAAGTTTGAGGAACAACTATGCAAATACCTGTTCAAATTTCTCTTGAGTGTTTTGACCTATTTTGCCTGTTAATACGGAGGTTTCTTGGTGTAGTCTAAACAAAGGGGTAACTTCAGAAGTAACTGAGATTTGGGTCTTAGCAACTGCTTATTTTACTGAGGTTTTTAAGATAGTATTGCGCAAGATGATGTAGGCTTCAGATTAACAACCTTCAAATATTTTGCATTCTGTTAAACAGTTTTTCATGAGCTATGTATGTAAAAGAGCTGATGGTCTCCACCTGGAGTGAAGTGTTTGATTTTTATTCCTCTCTTCAGACTTTGCAGTAGCAGTTCTGACTGTTCTTCTGTAGCTACATTCTTAGAGGAAAAGCCAGACACATCAATGCTTTATGCCTGTGTCTTCTGAAGTGTATCTTCTGAATTAAGGTAGCTCTGGCTGGAATTAAGTTTTGATCTGGCTGGCATGATACTCGGTAGGTAGAAGAAGTCTTCCAGCTTCTTTGGAGTGGTATATTTGGATGTCTTTCTCTTTAATAGTTGGTGTCTACTTTCATGCCTTTTCCCATGCTTCAGTGAAAGTAGGAATGATGAACTATCAGAAATATCCTAAGCAGTAGTTTTAGCTGTCCCTTTATCTTACAAGCCTCTGCAGCTGAGCTCACCCTACTGTATTCATGCTGTCATACCAGTTTGTCTCATGAATATGTTGAGTTAGTGTGTGTGCAGTTGGCTGGGTAAGCAGCAGTAGCTCTAGCAAGTGACCTAATACAGCGAGAGAGAATGTCCTTTTCCCAGGGCCTAAAAATGAAACTTAATCTACCTGGAGTGGAGAACCCATAGTGGTGACAGCTGCATTTAGGAAGTTGAAGAGACTCTTCAAGATCATCTCTGCTAATAACTTAACCACCTTCACACTGTTAACCTTCGTCAGGGAAAAAGATAAGTCTTACAAACCCATGAAACTGTAATTGATAATGCCAAAGTATTAAATCCATTGCCGGATCATACAACTTTCACACCGGCCTTCGTGCTCCAAGGCTTTTCTTCACACTTGAATCTTGTAAATTCTTGTGAACTGAAGCCGTGTGCCAGATCATTTTGTGATTCAGAGGAAAGAAGGCTGGGAAAGAATGTGCTGTGGATTGCACTAAGCAAGCGTGCAATAGCGGTGGCAAGAATAAACAGTTAAGTGCCTTATATTGACTGTAGGAATATATGTTCTGGCCCTCTGGATCCTTTCTATAGAGACAATTTTTAGTGCTGTTTCTTTTTTTTTTGCCAAAGGGATGGGTGGATAGTTGTCTGGAGAAATAGCAAAGAATGTCTGTCTTCAGCTCTGACTCAAAACATTCTTCAAGTCTGATGCAGGAAGCAGAAAAAATACCTCCAGATAGATCAAAGACATGTTTATGGCTGTAATAAGTGTTGGTTTTGAGTAAGAAAAACCAGTATTCTTACTGTTGCTTTCATCTTTTACAGGCAATTTTGATGACTTCAAATTACAAGATGGATTAGGTAATTATTAATTTGAGAGCCTGAATTTTTCACTTCACTGGCACACAGAGTTGTGATGTTTCTATGAAAGAAAGCAGTTCCTCAATAGCAAAAGGATTTCTGCAATTTGGAGTCTTCTGCTAGCGCTTTCAGAAATTTACTTTTTGATTTCACAAGCTTGAAGACCCTGTGGGAATCTCTTTTGTTGGCTTTGAATCTGCATATTTTGAGCTTCCTCACCTTAAGCTGGCCCTTGGCAGGTACCATGATCACCAAAAGCAGCGTGTGGTTTGGCAGATAATGCCTGGTGACTGTGGTGCTCTTCCGTGGGCCACTGTTGCATGAGCATGCCGTTGTATTCTTGGTGAAAACATTGTGATGTGCATTTTATGTAAAAATAGTCTAAAACTTGTTCAGTTTTTGCATTACATTTAAAACTTGCCTTCTTTCTTTGTAGATGATTTTGACTTGGGAGATGCTCTTCCTGGTAAGTATGTTTTCCTGGATACTGCTCAGTGGAACTTGGTGCAAAGCCTGTCCATCCTTCATTACCGAAATGCGATAAGGGCGCTGAGTTGCTTAAGGTAACAGACTGTAGATAAAAATAATTGCAGTCTAGTTATGTTTACTTACCTTCATTTTTGAGGGTTTGAATCACAAAACCAGTTTGTATTTCACTCATTTCTTAGCCATGTCCTACTTGTATCCTTGCTGTGTCTTCACTAGATGGCACTCATTCCATAAACTATTACTTATGAAAGTAGTTTTTAAATCTCAAGTAATCTCTTCCTTTCCGGGAAGTAATTTTAGTAGCACAAGGAAACATTAATCTGTTTGAAATAATATGAGGGAGGGTACTCTTTCTAATGCACTTCAGCTCTGCAGCGTGGGCAGCAGCAAAAAATTGGGGTATGGTTTTCACTCAGCCAGTAAAAGATGCATCCAGTTGGGCAGATACTGGGCAGTAGCTTTTCGAGTACTATCACTAGACCTGTTGCAGTATAGACAGCTTTCCTAACGCAGGGTGTACAGCTGTAGGACAGTAGCGCTGTTTGCTACTCTGATTTAGCCCCTTGATGTTTTGTCTCTCTTAAAGCAGTCTGTTTCCAACTGCTGACATTTTTGAAAAAGAGTTGGCTAGTTGAGAAACAGTTGGCTGGATGGATCAGATGGTTCAGGTGAGTGGAGAGGACCCTTTATAGGATGGCAAGCCTAAGCTGGGGACTTCGAACTGTGCTCTGGAGGTGCCTGTGTCTTTACTTTGAACATGCAGAGAGCCTAAGGAGACCTGATCTGACTTGTGCTAAAGCTGAGAGGAGGCAAGACCGTGCAACATCAAGGAGAAGTAGCATACAGAAGACATGGTCGGCTAGATTGGTTCAGCTGTTGGTGAAAACACTGTTTTAGAAAACCGCTGCAGGTGTTAATTTGATGTGGGTAACAAAGACTGTGACCGAACAGTACAGAGATAATTACTAAGATCTCTTATTGTCCTATCTTGTGGCAAGCTAAATGAAGTGTCATTGTGGGGACCATAAGTCTGGTTCTATTGTGTGAGGGTTTTTTTGTTGTTTTTTTTTTTTAAAGTGAGTTACCAACCTTTATTAGCGGGTAAAAATCAGGTAGTTTTTTAAAAGAGGAAACAGGGAACTAATCTGTACCTGATAGGAAAATTTAAAGTAGTTCAGTGCTTGAAATCGTAGGTGCAAACTAAAATGGTGCGTAGCACTTGGTGAGTTCTTCTGTATATGTTCAGTTACAGCGATGGTCTGACATACAGGCTAATGTAGGAGAAACACTGTTAATTGCATTAAAGTACACTGTTTAACCTAAAATAACCAAACAAATACAGCATTAGCTAATGAAAGGAAATGAAAATGACATGGGGAAGATTTGATACCATTCTTTTAGGTCAGATAGTCTTTCAAGGTTCCTATATGCTCTGCTTTTTGTCTCTTCACACTGGTAACCTTGTTCACTTTATTCTAACTATTTGTCTACAGATGACCACAAGACAGTTTCAACTGCAAGTCCTAGAGGCACTGGTAAGACTGACCTAACAGGAATTTCTGAACAGTAGGAAAGTATTTGTTAATCTTTCCTAGTCCCTTTCAAAGTTACTGTATTGTAGTTCGCTTTTGATACCTTAACCTTTTTCTTTTTTTTTTCTAAATCTCTCTTTTGTGTGTAGATAAGCCCAAGCAAGGTCCACCTACACATCATAAAGACACTGGTAAGGCTTCTAGCACAAATTCCTGAATTGTGACCTGGTTTTACTATCTTTGTTAAACTTCTAATAATTACTCCTTGTTAATTGGCTGCCCTGTATGTCAGATGTTGCACTGGATAAACACTGAGGATAGAGGAAAAATTATCTTGCATATAAGCTTTGCAGCAGTCTTGAGATTCCATTGCAAACCTGTTGAGTCACTTTCCTTTCACTTAAAAGGGGGATGGTGCGGGAGGAGGAAGGATGGGACAGATTGTGTGTGCTTGGGGCAATGCTGTTCTTGGCTGCTTATGGTGGAGCACCTGCGTATTGGTTTGAGTCCTTTCATCTTTACCAACTGAATTCCTGCTAGTCGCTGGAAAGTAAGTAGGAACTACCTGTGATCTGTGTTCTTAGAGCATCTAAATTAAAGGTAAAGCTTGAAGTTAAAGGGTTGTGGTGTTTTTAGGTTTTTTTAAAGACTCAGTTAAGAAATAGAATTCTTTTGTGTTTGAAAGGTAGGCTTGAAATACATGTCCTTCCCTGCCTGTTGTGCTTTAGAGGCCTTCTCTCTCTTTGCCTAACTCGGAACAAAACAGATTCTGATGGATGCAGCATATCCACAAATACGGCAGTAAAGAGTCCTTACCTGGGATGCAAGCCCTGGTTCTTGTTCCTTCTCCTGCCTAATTTGCAGCAGATATTTGAACTCAGGTCTTGCATGGCCCAGTACAGTGCTTTTGCAACCCAACTAAAACATCTTCCGATGCAGTGCTTCTGGTTTTGCTGCTTGAAAAGGGTTTGCTCTGCATAAACTAAAGGTTCATTTGGCAGCAGAGGCAAGAAGGAGAACTCAGACCCCCCATGAGGTAGGGTCCAGTGGAGGTGGAGAGGGACTAGTTGTGTCCTGCAATAAATCAGAGGAGGGAGTTACGTTTGGATCTTCCCATTGTTATGCAAATACTGCAGCCACTGGACTGTGGCATGTTGAACTTTTTTTTTTTAATTCCCCTAGCTACTGTGTTGTACAGGTGTAAAAGACTGGTTGTGACTTAGAAACCCAGCTCTGAGGAAACGTTCACAGCTGCAGCCTAGAAAAGGAATGGTCCTTTCCTGTCCATGTACTTTCTCTACTTTAACAGGATAGTGAGACTTGGGCTGTTCCAGTTAGGTAGCTTACAGGGCTTCATGCTCGCTTAGCCTATGACTTGTGCAGTACTACCTGGTCTTGGACACTGACTTCCCTTAGTTGTTCAGGAAGTCCAGAGGCAGCAGTGCTGCTATCAAACTGTGTAGTGCTGAGCTGAAGGGACTTGGGACTGGGAGGGCTTTTGAACATGAACGCAAACATGTTGTGATATGACGCTCAGCCTAAAACCGCCAAGAACTCAGCTGAATGATCTACAGAAAACTTCCATGTCATTATGTGCCTCGAGATGTCTTTTCACTGAACTTAAAACGTCTCAGATGATACGGTTTTTCTTTTTTATAGGTGGCCTTGATGATTCAGATCTATACGATGGCAGTTTACCGAAAGGAGGAGGGGATGGTAGTGGCAGCAATGGTAAGATAGTAGGTTGTGCTTCATACTGATCCTATGACTACCTGAGCTTTTGATAAAAGCTTGCTCACAAGCTGGTTAACACGGTCGAATTTGTAACACCTTTGGTTCTGGTATCTGAAACGTAGGAGTATTCCTTCCAGTTCAAAAGCAGTGTGTTCTGTCTCTGCGAAAAAACCTCCAGATAATTAAGAGGTAAAACTGGTCTAGAGGTAAAACCTCAGTGATGTTTATGGTTATGCTAAGAAAGATGGGGTTTAAAACTGAGATGTAAATGTGGTACTTATTTCAAAACTCACCATGAATCTAGTTCTTAAAGGCATCCAGGTGTTATTTTCAGATCTTCTGTGACATACTCTGTTTCATTAAGTTCTTGTGGTCAGGAAGCCCAGGGATGGGCCAGAAAAGGTTCCGCCTTGTGTTCTCAAAAGATTTCATCTGTGCCACAGGATGAATTGATCCTTAGACTTCCAGGTGATGTGGGGCGTATCTACTCTGAGCAGTGTAAGACCATTTCATAGCTTACCAAACTCTTTTTGAGTAATCTGCCATGTCTAATTGTTACGGCTCAGCTTGGCACAGAGATGGTCATTGGGACCACGCTGCAGTGATGGGGCCATCATTAGGATGGGGTTAGTCGTCCCTGGGCACATTGCTGCAACTTCGCTGTTTCCAGATGAGAGCTTAAGTGTCTTGATGTGGTGTTGAGATGTGCTGCTGGTTACTGACTTCTTCAGGGAGTTGTCCTAAACAGAGATTACTGATGCTAATTTTTTGGGAAGCTTTCACCTTTGAAGGTTCCTTTGGGGCAGTAACTTGAAAACTGGCGGGGGCAAGAAGCATCTGTTGAGACTTGTGGGGTGTTTTCGTCTGCACAGGTTCCTGCTTCAGTGGTATGAGTTGCACAGTGGAAAATAAGGGTAGTATTGACAAAACTTCTGTCTTGTTTGCTAGGAGGATTGCCAAGGTATTTAGTAACTGAGGCTGAGATTTTAGGAAAAGATAGTTGGTTCTGTGGAAATACAGTTGAACCTTATCCTGAAATGATATGCTGTTTCTCTCCACTGAGTATTCCGTGCTGGTGGGCAAGTTGATTAAACCAGATTTCACAGGTGTGCTGCACTCATTCTGTGGAAGTGCTGAGCCCCCAAGGCTGAAGTTGGCACCACCAGGAGCTGCGGTTTGAAAACAGGAAGTTTGTGTGCCAGAGCTTAGCACTGTATGGATATAATAGATGGCTTGTAATGTTGCATGATTAACTGACAAAAACATTGTCAATTATGATATGACTGTTCTTTAGATAAGTAAAATCTAAACTTTTTGTTCATTTTTACAGAACGAAAGGGCCCAAATCCAAATAGTGGTGAAGAATCTGATGGTAAATGCATAAATTTGTGTGTATGGTGGTGTCTGCATGTCTGAAGTTTGTTTTCTGGATTTTTCTGTGTTGCTACTACCCTGCTAGAGCAGTCACTGCTGGTAGCGGGCTTCAGCTTAAAAACTTTTGTGGAATCTGGAATTCTCACTTTCAAGCTCTGCATTCATAATTCTTTAAAATCTCTGTGTTGCAAATTATTCAAAAGTGTTGAGGTCTCAGAGACGCTGATGCAGTGATTGCGCGCATCCAACTTTGATTTGGCTATGAAAGGGTGGCTTTTTTAATTAGTGGAATTTAGAACAGGAGTGCTTCAGTTCCTTGACAATAGGCATTGCTATGAAATCAGTGGTTATAAAATTAGAGGATTCACTTTCCGTTATTCACAAAGACAGGAGGAGCTGATTACTACAGTTTCATGTAATAATTTCAGTTTATTGTTTTTCGGAAGTGTTCACGGGGTTTACTTTGAGACAATACAAGTTTGATATTGCTTTCAGTACTGAAAAAAATGTATACAAACCTTTTTTTTTTTTTCTTTCTTCCCCCAGCTTCTCAGGGAGCAATAGCTGGAATTGTAAGTGCTGTGGTTGCTACTGTAATTGGAGCAGTATCTAGTTTCATTGCTTACCAGAAGAAGAAACTCTGTTTCAAACAAAGCGGTAAGAATTCTCAATTAGTTTTATTTCCTGCTGTCTAAAGAGATGCATTTTTGTATTTATATGGGGTCTAGAAATTGATCTTACGCATAAGGTAGTTTTAATAGCACAATGAATTTGCATTCACAGGGAGTTACCTCTTACTAGTCATCTAAGACAGGGTGCCTGAAGACCGCCTCGCCTAAAATGTAGACTTTCAGAAGCAGACTTAAGGCTTTGCATTTCTGAAAATAAAAGCGCTTCCTGCTAAAGAGTAAGCAGGAGAGACTTTCTTTAAGGAAAACTGAGTGGAGGTTGGGGTTTAGAGACTATTTTCATGCTGAAAAATACGTTGTAATTTCTGATTTTGTAAATCTTGCCTTTGTGTTTTCCCAAGATGCTTGCCTGCATACTAGTTTTCAGACAACTGCCCAGATGTTCATACCCAAATGATTCTTTCTTCTGCAGTCACCTATCGCTTGCTGTCTGCTTCCTTTCCACCTAAATAAGATACAGCTTGGATCAGAGAAGTTTGGGAGGACTGTGGGTGATAGGTGGGGCAGAAGCTTTGTTTTTATCCTTTCTAGTCTTTCTGACTGGTTGGTGAAGGGAGATAATAGAGCAGCCATCCACCCAGGCACTGCTGTTTTGTACTTTGGGAAGTTTGGAAACTGAGTAACATCTACTGTGCCTGTTGAAGTTAACATGCAGTGGGCACAAGGGCAACGCAACTGCTATCAGTAGCCCAGCTTCTTCAGCGCTGTTTCTTCTCTCAAATTATCTCAATCAACAACTTTGAAGATAAGAGAATTTGAATGATAAACATTTGTTTGTTTCCCAGCAGATGAAGAGAATGTGAATATGGAAAGCCATCGAGGAGCGCAATCTGAGCCACCTGGTAAGAGAAGAATCTAGATGGAAGATCAACTTTTTGGTGGGGAACCTATTAAATGCGCTTTATTGACATCTGACATAGTGGACAAAATTACTTCACGCTGTTTTGTTTTGTTTAAAAAAAAAAAAA